TTGTATTTCAGATCATAATTTTACATAACTCATTCCACTGGTTTCTATTTGGTTTCTCAGAACTGTTAGTAGTGGTTGCACTTGTTTTTCATGTTTTTCTAGTTTTAGAGTTGCAACCAACAGTCGATTAATTGGTTAGTTGTCAGCTTTTAAATTAATTGCTAAATATTTTGATTGATATATTGATAATCGGAAAAAAAGAGAGTCCTCTATGGCAGTAAACAGCATATCTTTGATTGTGTGCAGTCATTCGAGGACATTTTATTGAGCTTTGGGAAATCGATAAATCAAGAAAATTACAGACTAACTAATGAATTAAGAAAATGTAGTTTGTTAGTTGCAGCCCTACACTACACAGAGAACTGGTTCAATGGTGTCCATACTGTACAGAGCTAGTTCCAATGGTTTACACCGGGTTGTTAAAAATGTGTTTGACTTATTTCTGTTCTGTGTCTACTGTGGCACAGATCACAGTTGAACACAACTGGACAGATTGGTTTTTTATTTTAACTCTGAGAGATCTGCTTTGGCTGCTTCTACTTTATATCAGGGCACATAAATTATCTACTATTATTACTTCTGTTTCTGTTTCTAGGAATCAGGATATTTTCAACGCATTCCAAAAAATGATATTCACACACTAACTATTGGACATAAGGCAATGCTTTTGTTGGAATACCCAACAGAGACGTGTTATGAAAAATAGTTGCATATGAAGGTTATTGATTGGAGACACACTGGTTACTATCGTGGTTCACATTATTTGTCTCTGTTTTGCGGTTTGCCAGTTGTCACTGAAATGACAACACTGTCGAGGGTCTTCTCCGATTGGCTCGGGGTCCGCTCACTAACTGTGGGAATACAGTTACTGCGTGTGTGTGTGTGTGTGTGTGTGTGTGTGTGTGTGTGTGTGTGTTCAGACTGCAGGAAGTGAGGTTGTTATTGTGTCTTTCTACATTCCTCAGACTTAAACACACTCTGCACCTGTTTCTGTCTGTCTGTACACACACACACACACACACAAACACGCACTTACATAAACACACACTTACATAAACACACATAGGCAACTACACGCACAAATCACAGCCTTTCGTCAGCAGTCAAGCATCACATTCAATGGGAAAATATGCCTGTACGACATGAGACATAAATCTAAATATTTTCACCAGGAACAACAAGCATGTGTGTGTGTGCGTGTGTGTGAATTTCTTGTACAGGCTTTGGGTCAATAAATGTGGTTTTATCATCAGAGCACAAACTCAGTTCTCAGAGGGGAAGAGGAGGAGGAGGAAGTTTGAGGGGATTTTACTTTAGCTCTAATGACATCTACAGACACTGTGTGTGTGTGTGTGTGTGTGTGTGTGTGTGTGTGTGTGTGTGTGTGTGTGTGTGTGTGTGTGTGTGTGTGTGTGTGTGTGTGTGTGTGTGTGTGTGTGTGTGTGTGTGTGTGTGTGTGTGTGTGTGTTTGTGTGTGTGAAGACTAAAGGATCTGGATCCTTAAGACTCCTGCAAGGTGCACTGTGGGAAGGTACCACCCTCTCCCAGCTGATTAGCTTCTCTTAGCACCTTACATCTGTTTATTTAAGTTTGGGTTTCTTCAGGTTTGTGCATGTTGTGTGTGTGTGTGTGTGTGTGTGTGTGTGTGTTTCCTGACCTCAGCCTTTCATTCCCACAGTTCCCAGTATTCCCTGCTCCTTAGACTTCCTCATTGTTGTAGCGTTTATCGCTGTGTCTGCGTCTTTCCGCGACCACTTGCTTCAGGAAGTAAACAGTCGGCACAAGGCTATGACCTGGAACACAGCTTTTACTTTACAGAGGGAACTGAACAGTTTGTGTGTGCAACAAAATACTGTGAACGCATAGAGTGATTAAACTTACTGGTGGATATTTTCGTATTATGCTGTGTACTCCAGGAAGCTATTGGTTGAAACTTGTTGAGACTTACTTGAGTTGTGTAATCTATTACACTGAACATCAAGTCCTTGTAACATTTTATTTGGATTGTCCGTCTATAATTTATACAGTGTTTGTAACATTTTTACTGTTTCGCGTTGTCTGTAGATGTTTAACAGATTATCTGTGACAGTTCATGAACATACCCTAACCAAGATGGTTTTTGTGCTTAAACCTGAGCAGACCTTAACCACAGTGGTGTAATATCAGAACAGGGTTGTTGATACTCACATTATAAGCTGTTGAAATGTTACAAATGCTCTATTGCTCTCCAAATCATGTCTTACCATTTGCTTTCATTTTCCAGTCCCACTATCATTACATGGTGATGCACTTAAAGCACAGACTAAACCTAAAGATTTGCATTGTGTTACATTTTAAGATTCTAACATACAAAAATGTATGTAATGATTCAAATTCAAAAGACACAGCAGCACGGCACCCCTATAGACAGGACTGATATTTGACACGTGATAAGGAAGTGAAGAGGCTAAAATGCGCGAAACTCCTGGTATGACCATTCCAGGTCAAAACGTACTCCTAGAGCAAGGTCAGATCCAAAAGATCTAAAGCGCAACTACACCCTGGCTAAAACTGCGTTTGTGCTGCCATGTAGTAGTTGCTGCATACTCAGCTGCTACACAGCTGGGCGTGGTTTACGTCCAGTAAAACAAATCACACCTGACCCCCCCATCGCTGGTATATTGTGTCTAAACAGCAATGAAAGACGTTGCTTTTAAACCATAGAGGATAGTGCAACAATACACAAGATATAGTGTGTAGTAAAGTATGGAGTTGTTGTGGAGGGAGACTGGCTACATTCCATTCCATATAGTGTTTGCTTCTGGACATTGACTCCCCTTGAATCTCAGGTGGAACCCCAATACCTCCTAACGGCATCGGGTCCACGCTTTTCATCACAGTGATGGAAGTTTGTTCTCGTCCTTATTTAATCCCTCGTTGACTTCCTGAGAACCAGAGGGGCTCACTGCAGAGTTCACCGTCAGGGGGCTGACTGAAGGAAAGACATAAAGGGAAGACCGCATTCTAATGTCGCCACCGTCTATCAGCTTCTATCTCTGCTTGCTCCATCCATTTTCACACCTTTGCACACCTGGCTGTTTGCTGCAGAGAACAGGCATGGCTGCCAGTCTCTCAGATAGCTTCTTGTACGGTCACATTGTGTGCTGAGATCTTTTACCTTTAAGTTTATCGGACAGTAATGCAAAGGAAATGAGTGCCTGTTTTCCTCCTCAGAAGTTAAAGCTGAGAGCTTCAGAGAAGCAGCGAGCTTTGAGTGATCTGGAAAAAAAAAGTCAGGAGGTTTTTGTTGGACAGAAAGTGTTTTAGGCTGTTTTCTGTTTTTAATAATTTCTCTCAGGGAGTGTGGGAAGTGAGATGATGTTTTTTATAATGCCCCCCAAGTGTTTTTCTTTTGTTTCTTCTGTCTGTGTTTTATCACATCTGTCTTCCATCCATATGCAAATACTCTAAAGTTAACAAAGCAAGACCCGTGTCTTTTTTAGAGGGTGGAGGTAGATTAGGTGGAGCTGTGGAGCGGGCTTTTCATTTTGATGTGAATCAGTGGGGGAGACGGAGAGGGAGAAGAGCTCTTTCAACAGCTGTTCTAGGGTTTGCGTCATGCGGCGCGAGCTAGCGTCATGGCTGAGTGTTCGCACGCAATGCACACACACACACGTACACGCACACACACAGAGGCATGCTGTGGGGACCCCCAGTCGAAGGCATGACCAAACACAGGCATTGTGTTCTCGTGCAGCCGCTGTGTTGCTGAGGAAGAACGTCACCTGTTCTGAGTGATGACAGGCTGCCGGTTCTGCTCGCAGTCTCACGTTTTACTGCACGTCTGCTGCATGACTGCTGCACTGCTGCACAAAACCACTGCTTTGGTCCTCTTTTAAACTAGTCTGAGTTAGAAGAAATGTGCTGTCGTTGTTTTTGTTGTTTTATCCATTGCAGCATTTAGCGCTGTAAATGCAGTGGATCTGGATTGACAGAGCTTTTTTTAATAGAACACAAAGTTTTTAATTTTGTTTTAAAAATAACTATAATGTTTAAAATTCCGTTAACAATTTACAAAATATACATATAATGTATTTTAGTTTTTTATGCTTTTTAAAAGTTTTTATGCTTTTTAAAAAGAAAATAAGTTTAAAATGTTTTTTTAAGTTGGTTTGTATATATAATTTAGAAGTAATTTTAAACAGTTTAAAAATCATCTTATTTTTAGAAAACAAAACATGTCAAATAATTTTTACCCTTACCTGTAAAGTCATCTATTAGGAAAATGTAAAAAATAAATAAATAATTGTTTTAATATATATATATATATATATATATTAAGCATTTTTTTATTAAACTTAAAATTTTAAGTGTAATCCTATTTTTTTAAAGTGTAAAATGTTTTTAAAAATGTAAAAAAATATAATATAAATATAAAGTTTTTATGATTTTAAGAAGAATTATTTAGTTTAAAAGTTAAAAAAATAATTATATAATATGTATAATATAATATGAATATAAAATAATGTATTTGCTTATTTTGAATAGTTATAAAGTAATACAATGAAGCTAAATGAGCAAATTTTTACAAAATGAAAGTAAATATATTAAACATAATATTTTATGCATATGTTTTAAAATAAGCCTTTCTTTTTCTTTTTTTTTCTTTTATAAAAAATAAGTTACCGTGAGGAATTGCAGTCTTGTCTGTGTATTATTCAAAAACTGATGGAAGTTGCAGCTGTTTTTTCCAGTGTTGGGAGTGAGCGCAGTGTTCATCCAGTCAGGTGTAGGAAGGGTTGATGTTAAGATAAGGAGAGAAGTGTCATTCATCTGATACAGCTTAGTGGAAACGATGTCCATCTGAAGCCGGTTCCTGCTGAGTCTCAAAGAGGAAAATGAGAGAAATGAAGGTTTCGGCAAGTTGTGCTCGGCTGTGAGCTTTTGATGAGAACAAGTTGTGTTTTGATCAGAGTGCAGATTCCTGAACGGCACTGTGTGTCTCTGTGTTTGTGTTGCAGGTGTACGCTCCGTCTGCCAGTACAGCCGACTACAACAGGGACTCACCGGGTTATCCCTCCTCCAAACCTCCCAGCTCTGGCTTCCCGAGCTCATTCTTCATGCCAGGTACTCACACACACACACACACACACACACACACACACACACACACACACACACACACACACACAGGTCTGTCCCTCATCAAGACTCCCTCCAGTGGATTGCTGATCTCATTGTGGATTCTGGATCACAGACGAGCTGAAAGATGTTCTTAAACCAAAATCCTCAGAAGATTTGAGTTGCACATTTCATTAGTTGTTGTAACAGCAGCAACACATGCTGAAAATGCGTTAAAAGGAAAGAGGTGTCATGACAAATAAAAATAACAGTTAAGTTGAGATGTTTCTTCCTCTGAGGCCATTGTATTTTATATACCAGGACACCCCTGAGAGCTTTATTGCATCCATTTACCACAGGCAGAAAGAGAAACTTCAAAGTGTTCTTTTAAAGTCTGTTTTAGTGTTAATTTTGTTGACGAAAACTATGACTAAATATGTCAATTATCTTTTTTTCCATGACTAAAGGCCATGGCACATAAAACAAAAATGTGTTAAAGCCGTCATCTGGAGGTATCACACAATGAGGAGGATTTTGTTGTCCTTTCACTTGAAAATAGAAAAAGAAAATGCTAACTCTGATTAGATGAATATGCAATAATGTTGACCAAAAAAACAAAAATGTAATTTAAAAATCAATAAAAAACATTTTCTGTACTAAAAGTGCCATATCAGGACTCCAACATCAACTGTTTAACAGAAAGCAAGTTAAAGTTAACAGGGTTTAGAGTTCCGGGGGATAGTGAACGCTCTATTTAGAATATTTTTACCTCAGCGTCAGGCAGCCCAGACACAGGAGCTGCTGGCCCACTGCTGGCTCGATCGGTTAGTTTGTTTGTGATATTGCATGACTTTGGTGTTTTAAATGGTGAGCTCGAGGCTGCGTTAGATCAGTAACTCCCATGTTCTGCGAGGTTAAATTACTGTTTTTGTCATAGGAGTCTGGTGGCTTTGAAGACAGCATAGATTAATTTGTTTGTTTGACTAAAATGACAAAAAAAAAAATACGGGTTTTGGCTCGACTAGACTGACTGAAACATTCAATATAGTCTGATGAGGAAAAAAAGACTCAAATGCCAAGAGTTTCCTTTGACTAAGATAAGACTTTGACCATATTTGAACTAAAACTTGAAGAAAAAAAAAAACAGGATGATGGTTGAATATAGTATATTTGACACAGGACTAAAACTAAAACTAAATAAAAAATATCTGACAAAATGAACACTAGTTTGTTTGCAGTCAGTTTGGTCTGTTTCTGTGAGGGTTAACAGAAGCACTGATCGACAGAGGTACATCTACTTTTAAACACTCTGTTTTGGATGTCTTGCATCTATTGACTGCAAACAGTAAATGCTCAGACTGATTTAAATACGGGTAATTTCCTCCAGACTGCCTATTTTTCCCTCTCACCTGGGTGTCTTTCATGTAAATACACACACACCCAAAAACACTTTACAGACATGGATAAAGGTAATGGTCCGGTCCAGGTTTGTTTAGCACAAATCTGTGTTATTCTTAAACCTGAAGATGAAAAGCAGGTGTCCTATTTACATGGATGCTTTCTAAAACCAGGTTAGTGCATAAAGTGGGTCAGATTACTAAACTGCACTGAGTGACTCACTGGAAGGTTTGACAGCGGAGAGAAACCTCAGCTTGTTTTTAGCGTGTGGCCTGCACAGAGATAAAGCTGATCTCAAACCAGCGTGCAGAACATCATATGTACCTCTTTCTCCCTCTCTCTCTCTCTCTCTGTGTCTCTCTTTCAGACGGACACCACAGCGGCGACCCCTGGAGCAGCAGTAGTAGCAGTATGAGCCAGCAGGGTTACCATGGCAGCATGCTGGGGGGCGGGAACTCGTCCCACGGCCCCGCCCAGAGCTCCTCCTACTGCGGGATTCACCCTCACGACAGATTGGTGAGCAGAGCTGTCAATCACAGTGCTACTAGTGATACTTTGAGGAAGCCACAGATTATATAGTTATCAGTTTATCCAGGTTTCCTCTCAAATTCCATGACTTTCCATGATATTCCATGCCTGAGCTGAATCACTTTCACTTTGTGTATGTATGCATACATATATATATATATATATTTATGTCAGTCTGCGTCGGACAGTCAAAATCTCACATAAATTATATAACTGCCACACCAGGCTTACTTCCTGTTTCCAGTAAGTGCCGCTATTACTATGACTATGTATTGGCATGCAGATGTGCTCAGAACTCTTATCAGACATGTGAAGTTTGGTGGAGTACACATGGTAACTTCCTGTTTCATGGCGAAACAACGAAATGAAACAGCTTTTAATGACCGACCTCCTGTTGGGTTTGGGTATGGCTCCAAGAGGCTGTGCGTACCAATTTTTATGCCCATCGGTAAAATGTGGCACAGGGACTGCAGTTAAGGCGACACTGTGGAGCCCATGTGTTGGACCCATATTATCTGTACATTTTTGTGATTTTTATTAGCTCTCTTTGGCCTCCTCTGTGTATATTTATCATAATTTAAGTATTATTCAAATGAATTGTCTTTCTTATCTTTTTTTGCTGTAATTATATTTATACATTTAAACCTCTACATCTCCTCCTAGCATGTTAACATTTTTGAGGGTAAGGTCCCTAATATAGAAGTTGAGCACATACGTTCATTCTTGAACTTGAAAAAATAATTTAATTCAAAGAGAAAATGAAGATTCCCTTCATTTAAAGTCCAATGGTTTTTTATTGAAGCTTTCAACTGCATCTCATAAGACCATAAGATGATCAGAAAAGGCTTTTAAATGAGGCTTGGGTTTTTATTTTTATATTCAGAGAGTTGGACCTTAAAATACTCTTACATAAGTAGTAAGTTAAATACCCAAGCTACAGTGATTAGTTAATGAAAGTTATAGAATTTAAAATCGGAGCCACAACCCTGGTAAAGTCACAGATTTATGGGCGGGAAAGGGCTGTTAAATCTGCCATCATTAAGGACACATGACACACATTTATAGATTGCACACAACTGTGAAGCTGTAAATCTGTCGAAGGTCATTAGATGGCAATGCTTTGACTAATGAGAGCTCTGTGTAGTCATACAATGAAGTGTTTATCCCCACTTTATTCTGTCCTTATGCAATCTTTCCTGTTTTGCAGCAGTTTTTACTTTTCTTGTTAAAGCTTCGTGTTGTTCTGTCCGTCCCTCTGCAGAGCTACCCCTCGCACTCGTCTGCAGATATCAGCTCCAGCCTTCCTCCTATGTCCAGCTTCCACCGAGGGGGAGGGAGCGGGGGCGGGGCCAATCACTACAGCACCGCCTCTTGCACAGCCCCCACCAACGGCACAGACAGCATCATGGGTAAGAGACGATGTGTCTTCAAGCAATGCTTTTAAAGGCATGCCACTCTGCTGTCACTTGGAGAATCATCTGATTAGACAGAAAATATAAAATGTGTTTTATCACTTAAGAGTTGAATATTTTTTAACTCTGATGCTCAGTTTGTTTCTGTAATGAGCCCGAAATGCATGCAGGTGGAAAATTCTCATTCAGTAGGGGAAAAAAATGGATTTGTAAAATAAAATGGATCTGGTTATTTAAGAAACAATTCTGCTTTTCACAGAATGTGCTGTTTTTAGCCATGCTAGCGGCAAAATGGCAAGGTCAACAAAACTGTCCATTAGTTGGTCCACCGCTTTGGACCAGACAGCCATTTTTCAAATTTTCAAATATTGGATAAATTGCCATTCAATTTTTCAATTCAACGTTAATGACAGAACTGCAACAATTAGTTGATTAATTATTTGTCAACTATTAAATTAATCCAACTATTTTGATCATCGATTAGTCAGTTTGAGTCATTTTTTAAGAATAATGTCCAAATTCTGTGATTTCAGATCCTCAAATGTGAATATTTTCTGCATATTTTCTTTAGAATTCTGTGGCAGTAAACTGGGTATCTTTAGGTTGTGGACAAAATAAGTCATTTGAGGACATCACCTTGGGCTATTTTGGCATTTTGGGGTATATTTGGGGTGTATTTTTCACCATTTTATTGACAACTAATCGATCAATCGACATTAGCATTTAGCTTAAAGCACCGCTGTCTGAGCACAGCCTCAAAGAGCTGCTAGCATGGCCGTAGACTTAATCTGTTGGTAGGATGTGATCACTGGTCAAAATATACCTTGACATGATCATGGTGTAGTTTGACCTTGCATCATATTTCATCATATTTTACTTGTTTAAACACATTATTTTTGGGTATGTGTCTCAGAGCTGTAGACTTCAGACTTCAGACTTCAGACGTGGACTTGAGTCAGACTTAAGTCACAACAATGAGGACATGAGACTTGACTTGGACTTGACTGCTGACTTGTACTTGACCTCAAGACTGCACTTACATAGACCCTTGACTCCCTAAAGACTTGACTTTCAACTTTAAAAGCAAAACCATTCAAGTCTCAAGGTTTGAACTGGTAGAGTCAGAGGCCTGAAAGACCTGTGCCTTGGCAATTTGCCCTCAAGGACTTGACCCTTGACTTGAGACTTACACAATGCTCTGCTGTGTGTATCTGCAGCAACCTGTACTCACTGCTCATGAGTAGACAAGATTATTATACAGTAAAAGTGACTGATCATTTAGATTTTTTCATCTTGGAGTCATGTCTTGGGTGCACTGGCTGTGTTTGTGTTTTGAACTTTGGAAGTCCACAGATGATCTACTCGCTGTTACTACATGAAAGACAACTTCACCAGTCCTTTCCAATCAGAAGATGTTAGCTAGACCACATTTTTATTAACTGCCACATAACCAGTTATAACTGTCCCTGCTGTGATTAGACTCAGATGATTTAAACCACTTAAAAACTAAACTTCATTGTCAAGGGAGAATATAACGTCTCAACCTTGACATCACTGACACACAAACACTCACACACACACACAGCATGCCATATGGACCCCTTGCTTTGAGTTCCATAGAACAAATAGGACAGCAATAAGAAACAGATTGAAAGTTTGTTTTCATGGGAAGACATCTCCAACATTCCACAACGATATCACACACACACACACACACACACACACACACACACGCACACACACACACACACACACACACACGAGCCAGAGCAGATGAGTGTAAACACAAGATGAACCTAATAAAAAACATGATGCTGTTGCTTAAAGATAAACATATGATACACGTGTGTGCACACAAGAACACCAAAGCAGTGTTTGCAGCCATTTCTCTGCCTCAGCCTGATTTTGAAGTAAAGAGGTGAGTGGGTGGACAGCAGCAGTGGTCACTATGGATTCATGTCAGCTGATTTGAATAATGAGCAGTGTCCACAAAGAAAGAATAAAAATAGGCACGTCACCAAAACAATAATTTTCTCTTTAAATTGCAACTCATTAGTTTCACCCTCCCATTCCTAGTGTAAGGGTGAAACTAGTTTGCCTGTTTAAATATTTTTAAAGGTCTGGTGTGTAACATTAAGGAGGCTCTATTGGCAGAAATGGACTTTAATATGCACATGATCACAATAATTGTTGTGTTTTTGTTATCTTAGAATGAGCTGTTTTCTATAGACGCGTCCACCATGTTGAACCACCATGTTTCTAGAGTTTTGTTTAGAGCTTGGAAGGGTAGGGTGAAGTGAGGAAGTTGCAGTCTGAAACGACACCCCTAGATGCCACTAAGTCCTACACACTGGACATTTAAATGACCCTTCTTCAGTCCATTTTGAATTACATAAATCCTAACAGACCACAGCTGCTGTTCTTTTTGAATAAACAAACTGCAAAAAGGATCATTTTTTAGCTTTAGAAATAAAATGACGAGGGTCAGAGACCCTGTAATAAATCTCCAGCTTGTTCATACCCTCCAATGAACAAAATTGGTGGGAAGCTGGTGAGGGATCATGTCCTTAATGCTGTTTATACAAGTTTTGAGAACGAAGTGTGTTACACTGGAAACGTGACTGTTTTACGCTTGATTTATTATTGTGCTGTTGATTGTCCTACAATGCAATGCTCAGAAGAAATAGAGGAGCTACAGATGCAAGACAACAAATTGTGGTTGGTGAAAGAAAACAACACTTTAAATCTTCTGAAAAACGTGTTGGTTTTTCTTTAGCTTTGCAAAGTTTCTCTGTCAGTGCAAATTTTGCATCTGTTCCTAAAAGTTTAAAGCACTGATTGTTTGTATAGTAACTGCAAAAACAGTATGCTCTGAAAATTAGTATAGTTAAACAGTGTGTACAGCTAATACGTAAAATGGAATTAGCACACAGCAAAGGGACTGTAGGGCAGAGATAACTGGACACTTTTAGTGTGGAGCATATGAAGAAATGAATAGAGATATTAGATAAAAACAATAAAAATGTTTGTTTATATGCAAAATATGATTTATAAATATAAAATATGTAATATGAAATACAATTCTTAGATTTTTGAGGTGATGGAAAAACATAAAAATCACTTTCATCTTCTGAAGACTCTTCTCCTTTGCGGCTATAAGCTCTCATTTATGAAAAAGATTTTCTCCTGCACATGTTCTAAATTATGCATCAAGTTAGGATACAAGTGTGTTTGTGTGTGTGTGTGTGTGTGTGTGTGTGTGTGTGTGCAACAGTAATCCCTTGGATGGTTTACTAGGCCAGTGGTATGGCGTGAGTGAGACATGAGGCTTTAACCCCAAAACATATGCTACTTCCTGTCTCTCTCTTCGTCCCTGTCTCCCATTCTCTCTCTCTATCCATCCCTCTCTCCTCCCCCTCTCTCTCTCTCTCTCTCTCTCTCTCTCTCTCTCTCTCTCTCTCTCTCTCTAACAGCTTAAAGAAGTCCAGTCCTGCCAATTTCTGTAATGGATTCATTTGCCATGAAAGGATGTGTTTTTGCTGTGCTGTGTGTGCTTGGCGTGCGCATGTCTAACTTGTGTGTGCGAGCGTAAACTTTCCATCTGGGATCTGCTATCAGGAGAGATGAGCTGTGAGCATGTCAGAATCTCTCTGCCTCAGTGTGTGTGTGTGTGTGTGTGTGTGTGTGTGTGTGTGTGTGGGCGCTCATCTGGTCCTGTGAGGTCACTTCCTTCCTCCCTGGCCTCTGTGCTCTTCAAGTGTGTGAAACAGATTTAGCTGTATTGAAGACACACACACACACTCACAAACACATGCCGTCAGTCAGTTAAAATGTGAATAAATGTATTTGTTAAATGTCGGCTCTGTTGAGTTCTGCCTCTGACTCTTGTCACCAGCATTTACAACAGCAAAGATCTGGAGCAAAATCAACTCTTTTCAGTGGAGACACTGGTATTCATGCATTTAGTGTTCAGCTTTGGTGAATTTTGGCACGAGAATTTTCTCCACTGCCTTGACAGACCTGACCTTTGAGGAAACAGACAGTCCCAAACAGAGGACACTATCATATCAGCTATATCATGCCATCAAATTTTGCTCTACAATAGTAGAAACTGCTCCACAAAAGAGATGCATCATGTAGGACCATCTCCAGAATCGGAGGCTGGTTGCAGGGACATCTTGCCGACCACGACCACCATCTCCTACAAATACACTTTTTTTTTAAAGTCATTATACCAAATTAGCTCTGGTTCTTGATACGGTTCAAATTCCTTGGAACCTTGGTGCTATGTAGCGAACCAGCCTGTGTTTCCACCACAGCCATTGTAATCAAGGATGTGCCATCAACAGAGGGCGCTTTACAATGTACAATGTAGAAACGTTTTTCGGGTTGCTAACCAGTTTGTTTTTGGTTATTTTTGCTTATTTATTCAAAACTAGGTGCGCAAATCAGAACGGAGATGATTGTAACTGAATCTCAAGCAAAACATTTTAAAAGTTTTGTTTTTCTCCTGCGTCCCTGTTTGTACACTCAGAAAAGCTTTTTTTTTACTGTTTCATGTTCACTTTCAGCTGTACAGGAGTCGTGTTAAGTTACTGCTGATGAAAACCCAACATTTCCTGACTTTGCTACTTCATAATCAAATATTTTAAATAAAAAAATAACCGGAGACTTTTATTATGAAGAATTTATATAAAATTAAACGTTTATCACCAAATTAGCGGAGCTTAGTAAGCGGCTATTCTTCAGTTTTAACAAGTCTAAATGCTGCAGGGGGGAAGGTGGCCATGTTTATTTGTGTTTGTTTATGTGATTCACTGCTTTGTTCTCGCTAACACCGGTCCCTCTCTTCATTCAATATTGAGCTCTCTAAACCGTCGCTGCTCTCTCTGCCTTTAAAGACACACCTTCAAGCAGGTAACCATGTTGTAATGGAGATGCAAATCAAACCGAGTCAAGCCAAGCCAGCACATGTATATTGAAAAGGGCTATTGGTCTGCAGTCAGACTTCAGACAGGAGCCCATAGTATCAACAGTTGAATTAATGTGTGCCATAGGACAACATTCACATGCATAAATAATTACAGTGGGAGCTTCCACGTCTTCCACTCTTTGTTTTATTTCCTGCAGTGTAAGAAAGAACAAATGAAGAATTAAAAGGAAACCAGCTCAAACTGCTACACAGTGTGTGTATGTATTAATGAATATGTGTTGCCGGTCTGAGTGTGGAACGGATGGACTGACGGTGTACGAGTAGACAGAATAATTAAAATATGTAGTTAACAACATCCTTATTTACAAGAATCCATCCCTCTTTTCCCCCTGTGTGTGTGTGTGTGTGTGTGTGTGTGTGTGTGTGTGTGTGTGTGTGTGTATGTGTGTGTCACAGCTAACCGAGCACAGAGCTCAGCAGCCAGCAGCTCTCAGACAGGAGACGCCTTAGGGAAAGCACTCGCATCCGTAAGTGCAGCACACACAAACACGCCTAAATATACATATACGTACAGATGTGAGAGATCTGTTCAGTATTTTATCAATGTTAAATTATTTAATACATTCTGTGATTTTGGAGTCGTGATCCATCCATAGACGTTGTTTTCTCTGACTTTTATCTTCTTATTTTTTCAGATCTACTCTCCGGACCACACGAACAACAGCTTCTCGTCCAATCCCTCCACCCCAGTCGGCTCCCCACCCTCCCTCACAGGTAGCACATGACACTCACCTTCTAATCACAACACAGTCATCACAGATAGAAAAAGCAGAGACCTGACTTTACCTTCTTTCAAATGACTTGAAACTTGACTTAAACTTCTTTCAAAGTACTTGAGACTTGACCTTGTTTCAAAGTCGGAATTACAAAAAGACATTTCAAATGACTTGACTTGAACTTGTTTCAAATGACATGAGACTCGATCCAGTTTCAAATGACTTGAGACTTGACTCAAACTTGTTTCAAATGACTTGAGACTCGATCCAGTTTCAAATTACTTGAGACTTGACTTGAACTTGTTTCAAATGACTTGAGACTTGACTCAAACTTGTTTCAAATGACTTGAGACTCAATCCAGTTTCAAATGACTTGAGACTTGACCAGTTTCAAATTACATGAGACTTGAATTGAACTTGTTTCAAATGACTTAAGACTTGAACTTGTTTCAAATGATTTAAGGCTTGACCTGAACTTGTTTCAAATGACTTGAGACTTGACCTTTTTCCAAATGACTTTAGACTTGACTTGAACTTGTTTCAAATTACTTGAGACTTGACATGAATCAGCTTCAAATGACTTGAGACTGGACTTTTTTCCAAATAACATAAGAATTGGACTTCTTTCAAATGACTTAAAATTTGACTTGGACTTGTTTCAAAGGACTCGATACTTGACTTGACCTTTTTTAATGACTTACAGCTCTGGGAAGAAGAAGCGGGTGAAATAAATAGAAAATGTATTTATTATTTATACAAACTAAAAACAACACATTGAACTAAAGTGATACATTTTAGTGAATAATTTAAAGGGAATTCAGCTTTTTAAATGCAGCCTCTTGGCGTAAAACAAGACCATAAAAACACATTCATAATAGCTGTGTCTCCACTCCACACCCCTCCTCTTCCTATTTCCACCAATTACTCCTCCTCCTGGCTGATGTTGTAAACTCACCCTGCTCCTTAAAGTGAAAAATGACTTTTCCTAATAATAGTTGTGTCAAATTTGTCTCTAATTGTCGCTGCTACACACACCGTTTGATATTTCTGTGCCGCGTCTTGTGACTGATAGCTTTAATTACGAGCACCACTTCGACAAATCGTTCACCAACCTAGCGGCTCTGCAAACCCGAGCCCCCTCCCCTCTTCCTTCGCCTCCTCCTCGTCATTATAGCTGCCTGGGATATTGCCTGCTAAACCGTAATTGGTGTTTATCATTGTGTCAGAGTTACTCCACTTTTTACAAATTAGAAATGAAGCCTATTAGAGCAAACTACATGCAAATTGATATCCAAGGCTAATTCTGCGAGGGTGTTTTACAGTGTTGGACTCGGAATAATTTACCCTGCCGTTTAATACATATATTTGTATTTGCACATGAATGTACCCAGGTGATTATTCATTAATTAGCATATGGAAATGAGCATGTAATATGAATAAAGGAGAGGGGAGAGAAAAGACTGTGAGACAAAACGGGAAGACAATAAAAAAGAGAAACACAAGCTAATGAGATGAGATCAGAGTTACAAGGGAGAGATCAGTGTTGAGGGCAGAGAGGAGGTACGAGGAGGAGATAGAGGAATAAAGGAAAGGAGAGGAAATAAAAGGGAGGCGAAATTAGGAGGAACAGGAGGAGAGGATCGATGGTTGAAGGGCTAGGAAGAGAAGAAAGATGTGGAGAAAGAAAACAGGAGGCATGAGGAGAAAAGATATTAAAACTGTGGGATAAGATGGAGGCATAAGAAGAGGAATAATATGAATGAATAGGAAACAAGAGGAAAGAAAACATGACATTAGAAAGAAGACAAAATAAGGAAACTTTCCTCACCTGTTTGAGTGAAAGCATCGCTAACTGGTGATGTTTTTGCTGTTCTGACTGTTACAATATTAATATTAACCTGCTGTTCTGGAGGTGTTTTCTTGAAAAAAACAAAAAAAACAATCCCTACTAACAACTAATAAAAGTATGAAAGTATGTTAAGAAAAACTTACACTGTAGCCTCATATTGTGACCTATAAAATGTCAATGGGTTTGTGCTTAAATCAGCTAGTCCTTTAAGTGCTGTATGGAAAATTATTAATGGGCTGGCAACTTTAAAGGTCCAGTGTGTAACATTGAGGAGGACCTATTGTCAGAAATGGAATATAATATTCATAGGTATGTTTTCATTAGTGTGTAATCACTTTAATATACAAATCATTGTGTTTTTGTTATCTTAGAATGAGCTGTTTCTATCTACACACAACACAAGTCGCCTTCCATGGAGTCTACCATGTTGAACCAGCATATTTCTACATTAGCCCAGAACAGACAAACTAAACACTGACTGTAGATTTTACGTGGCTTCTGTAGCTTCTTCTACACACTTCACAGTCCATTCTCATTCCCACGTTGTCAAATAAAGACGCGAGCGGTGTTAAGTTAGTTGCAATCTGCAGTTTCACCACTAGGTGCCACTAAATCCATCATTGGTTGAAACTGGTCCTTTGACATGATGTTGCTATCATTATGTGTCGAAAAAATTAGTTTGAAACCTACTTGAGCCAAAAAAAACTCATATGAGCTCGTCTCCACTCTGAAACCCAAACGCCGTTGAGAGGCCCCCATACGCTGGCCGGTCATCACTCCGTGCCTCACATTAATGTAAATTCACAGAAGTCGCTGTCTCTCCTCCGTCTACCAGCTAATGAGACCTGTCGATTCAGATACCACCCTTCAGAGCGACGATGAGCACAAAAGCAGAAAAGAACACAGACACAAAGCTTGTTTATTCTGCAGAGGGCCCATGCTAATCAACCACTTGTACCTTTCAAATAACAAAAGCCTGATATTAGCATTTCTGCTATGAGATATGAGTTGGTTTGTTTTTGTCTTTTCTTCCTTGCCTCCGTGTTTATTGCGTCCGAGCACCACGAGTGAATACGATGAGAGACTCCTCGTGTGTAAAGATGTTTTGTCTGGTGTTTGGCCGCTGTACATCGAGTGGTTTCTTTCTTTGACGTATAAAGGGAGAGGAGGTTTTGGCTCGAATCCACACATCCATCCATTTTCTGCACACACTTATCCTGTGCAGGGTCGCAGGGTGCTGCAGCCTATCCCAGCATGCATTGAGCGAGAGGCGGGTAATACCCTGGACAGGTCAACGCTAATCTCCCACTGACATCCTCTTGTTCCCTGTCTACTCTCCTGATCATGTCTACTTGCCTCCTCTCTCCTAGCTGCCAGTTCAGCTGTGTGGTCGAGGAACGGCGGACAGGGAGCGTCGTCGCCAAACTACGAGGCTCCACTGCACTCTCTGGTATACACACTCACTTATAAAATATATACTGTTTTTAAAGGGTCAAAACCATACTGTATCTTCCCTCTTTCTCCTATTTACACATTGCAGATAGGGGGGGATTGCTTTCGAGTTGTTCAAATGTAATTTTTCAATGCACAAAATATATTCCATTCACCTCCATTGTACTGGGGTGGAGGCAGAAACCTTAGAGACAGATATCTGGCAAATAAATGCACCAGGTGTTGAGCGAATTGAGCCTTGAAGTGCATACTTATTGTGCCTTAGTGTGTCTGCAAAGCTCAACTAATTTCATTGTTTTACTTTTAGTTTCTCCTCAACACAAAACAGTTCTCTACATAACAGCAGCCTCCAGTTACCAGATCACTGTCACTTTGAGTGAAAACAATGCTGGATTTACGTTTTTATTTGTGCGCACCAGATTCAGTGTTCCTGACAGTTTAGTGACATAAAGCTCTTTATGCCAACATTATGTTAAAGTTTCACTGAAGTTAAAATATCATACTGACAACATTTTCCTCATTGTCAACAAATTCCATGAAAAGATAACAATGTGTTAGTCCGTCTCTTTTCTGACATCCCTAGACACATCGGTGGCTCTCAGTCCTTTGGTTGGTGAAGACAATACAAAGTTTAATTTAAAAAAAAGTCTCAGTAATTTCCTTCAACAGTTGGCCATTGCAGTTTTTAGTAAAGGCTTCTTGAACAGGAGGAATGTGTGCATTTGCTGGCACTATTTTCAGCTGCGGATGAATACACATCTGGTGCTCTAGTGAGTACTTCCAGCAGCAGGACTGAGTGGGATTGAGTCAAAATAAACTACAGAGTGTGTGTTAATGGTAATGAAGAAAGATGTCTGTCAGCGCAACAGTGTGGCTCACTGATGTGTTTTTAATAGTTTTTGGACAACAATGGAGCTCTATGGCACAGAGGAAGAAAGTCAGGCTCAGGTTTTGATATGCACAATACTTGCTGGTTTTGATCTTTTTTTATGGACAATAAGAAATATATATTTATGTTCACATGAACTTGGGGCTACTTAGTATTGAGGGTCCTGGTTTTTTAATGCAGGTAAAGACCCTGTGATATCCCTCATAATCTGTGTAAGATTTTAGTAAATGTCAGATCTCAGAATGAATATTGAGAGTCGGAGCTGCTTCAGTTTACAGACGTAGATAATAAAGAAATCTTCAGCAGGTTCTTGATCGCTCTCTGTTGCGTCCCTTCATTCTGCAGCAAAGTCGTATCGAGGACCGTCTGGAGCGTTTGGATGACGCCATCCACGTACTGCGGAGCCATGCGGTGGGACCGTCGACGGGTATGACCAGCGGGCACGGTGACATGCACAACCTCATCGGGGCTGCACATACGCACAACGGCGCTATGGGCGCACTGAGCAGCGGATACGGGACAGGACTGCTGTCGGCCAACAGACACTCCCTCATGGTAGGACCTGAAAGCATGTTTTTATGCTGTGATAGTGATGTAGTGTAAGGGTGATGGGTTGGAGGAGCAGTACAAAAGTCCCATCAATGCTACTAAAGGTGGTCCTCAATGTAGGGCTTTTTTAACCAATTTAGAACCCCCAAAAAAACAAAATTGAAAAAAAATATTGTAATGGTTTTCTATTAAATGCACTCATAATTCATAACCAAGAAAAGGATTAAAACACTACTACTATGTGCTCTTTTTTTGTATTCTAATGGACGGAGAACATGAATGCAACAAACCACCTAATGGTAAAAATGAGAGCTTTTTTCAACAAAAACATACATTTATTAATTTTTCATGGATGGTTTACTCATAGAAGTTAATCAAGTGATGCTTTAAAACACTTTGCATGTATATTTTGTATTAATAAAAAATATATAATAATTTAAATTATTTACAGAAAACAGAATGTCCAAAGTCTCATGACTTGAATAGTCATAATCTTCCTTGCCTCACGTCGGCCATGCTTGCTGAAAAAGGGGGTTTGGCTCCACTGTAGTCCACTTTAGATGACATGGAAGACCAGTCAAATAAGTTTGTGCATTTGGTCTGAAACACTAAAAAATAATCTCCACTAAACGTCTAAAGTCTCTTCATATTGGGCTGTTTGTTATAAATAAATAATGCAATGAAGAAGAGAAATCCACACTAAAGTAAAAAAATAAAGTGGCACTTTATCAAGATGATTTGTGCCATGAGATGAACAGTGCCAGTGATGTAAGCCAAAATAAGTTCTGAAAAGAAGCTAATGACGCTAATTAAAGATGAAGATGAAAATAAGGGTTCTTGAACTGTCATTGTTCAGCTCAGTGTAGGAGTAAAAGGAAAGGAATTCTTTGGTGTGGCGCTTCACCAAGAAACCTGTCGCTGATATCTTGCAAAGGAAAATCAAGGCCAGTGACACTGAAACAAGGATAATAATCCTGAATGTATCGCTTGTCTCGATTATTTGTCTTCGGAAACAAAAAAGATACAAGATCTGATTTTGGTGAATTGCCGTTTTTGCAGAGCATTTCAATTGACAAATGAGACGTGACTGATATCGTCACACAGCTGGAAAACATGAGGCTGTGAGTCAGTGAAAATAACATTTGTACTTTTTCAAACTTTGATTTTATTTGTTGATTTAAAATGGACTACATAGTTAACATACTGTAGTCTATTATATCAATAGAGGTCAAAGCAGATCAGTAATGGGAGGGTGAGTGAAAGAAGAGGAGAGAATAGCAGGGCCGGGGAAAGGAGACAAGGGTAGAGGGGATATAAAAGAGGGGAGGAGAGGAGGTGAAATTATGAAGTAAGACAGCAGTAATGTTTTCCAGATTTAATTTAGGCTTTTTTTTTGTCAACTTGAAACAATAAACATAAAGAACCAAACAGCTGTGTGACATAAGGAGATGTAGGAGGACGAGTGAGAGAGGGAGAGAGAGAGAGTGAGAGAGAGCATTATACAACTCAAGCCAGTATAAACACATTCAGATGCCTGGACATGTTCAGTCAGACCTACTTTGTTTATTTGTGCCTAATGTTTGTGCATATTCCCATGTACACACTGTCACAAACACACACACACACACCAGATGTTCACGCAGAAACTCATACACAGGACACTCTGCACACTGTCACAACCTCTTCAACACCTCTGTGCAACAACCTGGCCGCAGCCTCAGCGACGTCACCCGTCAGGCTTCTGGAGGGACATTCTGACTTTTATTCTGTCCCAACAAGTTTAGTGTTGTGTCTGTAATGAGCACCGCAGCCTCTAGGTGGCGCTAGCAGCAGCTGTACACTGCTCTCACTACAGTAGTCCAGGAGCTGTGTCCCTCTCTCTCTGGTCTTTGTTAAAGTATTTACTTTGAAGTGTTGTTTTCTAAATGGAGAGCACCTGTGGTAGAGCAGAGTGTGCGTGTGCGTGTGTGTGTGTGTGTGTGTGTGTGTGTGTGTGTGTGTGTGTGTGTGTGTGCGCTGGCCGGCTCCCACAGAGATTATCCTCTTCTCACGCATATCTGACCAGCTGTCTCTCTCTCTCTCTGTGTCTCTCTCTCTCTCTCTCTCTCTCTCTCTCTCTCTCTCTCTCCCCCGTGTCTCTCTCTCCCAGAGGTTTCCCTCTTGCTTGTGTATTTTTGTTACATTTCCTGCTCCCTCAATCTCGCACAATGAATGAAATGTAATGTGAACGCTGTCAGTCACAGTCCTGAACCCACCAACCAACGATGCTCAGCTCTACAGCGCTCCAGGTTTTTAGCCTCTTTCAGCTCAGTTTTAGCTTTATAGCACGTTTACTGTACAGGGCAGATCTTGTTAATGTTGTTTCCATCAGCAACAGGCAGATGTTTTTAGCAAATAAACTCTGACAAACACCACCTGCCCAGCACCAGAGAGCAGTTAGATACTAGCTGATGAAGAACGTGGAACATCTAGCAGCTAGAGAGACAGACTTTTTTGGGGAGTCAGTTGCAGCTATAGTTGGATACAAAGTGATTTGAACGTCACACTGAAGGAAATATAAGGGTTAAGGGATCTAAATAATGTCAATAAGTTATTTGAAGCTTAAGAAAACAATCACTGCTTACTTTGCTGTTGATAAAAGTTCGAGTAGAACCCATTTCTGCTTTTAAACTGTGTACATAAAGAAATTCTTGTTTGGTTTTATCAGTAAATTAAAGTTGTGAGAAGCATTGCCAAGAGTTGACAAAAGTGGAAAGAAGGGGACAGAGAACAGGGCGGTAAAGAAAATGCTCACATTTTAAGAAAAACGCTTGCAAACTACTTTTCAGTTTCATCTGGAGGTGCTTTTAAACACTTTTCTGCTCTTTGGACGTCCCCAGAGGCAAATTTGGCGTTTGGCTTTATGAAGTGACGTGCGGTTCAGCTCAAGAAAACTTCAAAAGTTAACTTCTTCTTTAGGGTAATATTTTTACAAACTCCTTTTCAGTTTAATCTTGAAATGATTCCAAATACATTTCTGACTTGTTTTTATACATATGCAAGCAGTGGAAAGGGAGAATAGTGAAGTGAAGTGAAGGATATGTGCTGAAAAACACTGTTTACTTATGGACTCTGTAAAAATACACACACACACAGAAGCTCATAAATTGCTCCTTGTGTTGTCATTAGGACCCGTGTGTGTGTTTATTCAGGCTCTGGATTATTGGCTGATAGAAAAACAGACTCATTAAGACTGAAAACACAGCAGCTTTATAATAGGGTTTTCCATGGGCCCGGGTTGGTCCCCTTTAACCGTGCTGTGCCAAGCCAAACCCTGATGACATGCACCACTACAGCCTTGCAGCAGGGGATAGCTGCGCTGCTATGGTCCTGCTTGGTAGGAGGGCCAACCCGTGATGGTCTCCTTCTCTTAGCTGGGTCCTTGGCAGCTAAACTCATGTGCGTCTGTGTTGGAGAGAAAGCATGTCAGCCTTATTTTATTGTTTAACGATCACTTTCAGCCCTATTGGGCTAAGTTACTGCTGATGCAAACTGAACCTTTCCTGCTGAATCTTACCCTCGGTGGGGTGCTTTTATTGTGAAGGAGATGTTATGGGAAATGCAAAAGTCAGCGGATCATCATTATTTGTGCTATGCTTCAATGAAACAGGCCTAATCAACTAGATATGGACATAATCTGCATTATTTGGTAAGCGGATCAGTTTTAAATATCGCAGGGAGGAATAGAAACAGCCACTGTGAGCTGAAAAGGTCTGCAGGCGACTAGCTTTTACTGTGGTTTGTCACCTCCATCACGTCAGCGAGGTTAACAACTTTACCTTGTGAAAAAACACTCACACTGTTCATGGCATGGCTCTGCGCAACTAACCCCCCAGCTATGAAAAAACCCTAGAACTACACACACAAACACACACACTGCCTTGTAAATGAGTGTATGAGCTGGTTAATGTCACATTGGGGGACCCAAGCCTGATAACCAATTCACATTGTGGGGAGTCAACTCTGTAGAGTAGTTTTAAAGTGGAGGAGCTGGAGTATTTCGCCTCATTTAAATTCCCATTTAAACGTATCTTTTAAAGATCCCTTGTGAAAATTGAGGAGGATCTATTGGCAGAAATCGAATAGAATTTCCATAGATATGTTTTTTATTTGTGTATAATCGCCTGAATATAGGAATCATTGTGGCTTTGTTACCTTAGAATGAGCTCTTTTTATTTACAATGCGGGACATCTTCTACTGAGTCCACCATGTTTCTACAGTAGACCTGAACAGACAAGCCAAACACTGACTATGTTTTCTGTACTAGGTCTGATAAAATACAGAAGTTTCGTTATCAATACCAAAACTATGTTTTTCTCATCTTTATTGCCAGACAACGTTTTTCTATATCCACACACTTTTAGAATTCTTACAATAATGATATATAGTATATATATTCTTACAAACATAATATACACAACAACAGTATGTTAACGTTAGAGAAAGAGTGTATTATGCCAAATAAACTATAGTTAGGCAACAAAAACGCTTGGTTATGGACAAAAAAATTACAAAATCTTGATTGAAATCATCAAATGTCTGATTACAAGAAAAAGTTAACAAGATTATGCATCTGACATTTAGTGCCCATTTTAAATACTTTGCAGTATTTTAAAACTCAATTTTATGGTTACATTTCAATTAGTATTAAATTGAGTGTATAATGTATGTAGCAAGTGTGTACAAACGTGTGTGTGTGTACAGTGTAAACAAGACGTTTGAACCCAGAGAAGGGAAAGAGATGAAACTGAAAAAAGAAATGAGTGGGAAATAGTGAGAGGAAGGAGTGATGTCATGTCTAAAAATGAAGCTATTGTGTTTGCACTGTTCCGCTCTCTCTCTCCTTCTAGTTTTCTATGTCACTCTCCCAGTCTCTCTCTTACTCCTCTTCCTTTCTTTCTTTGCCATTATCATCCTACCACCTCTTTCACTAGGTTAGTATTTCCTTCTCTTTCCTCCCTTTTTT